CTCCCCTCTTTTGCAAGCCACAAAGTAGCGCTTGCAGAGGGGGAATTTTTGTTTTGTGTGCGCTTCATCTTCATGAACAGGACATACAGCTTTTCTGTAACCCATTTTCTATTGACATTGAAAATGTGGATACAATTTACCAAATGGAACTGGCTGAACTGCAGAATTGTGACTCTCTGAAAGAAGCATTCAAGTCAAGCAGCCTTCCTAATTTCTATGCATCTCTCCCCTCTGAGACATATCCTAATCTCAGGAACCATGCACTCAAAATGGCAACCATCTTTGGAAGCACTTATGTCTGTGAACAGACTTTTTCCAGAATGAAACATCTGAAATCTCCAACCAGATCTAGACTAACTGATGCACACTTGCATCACTTGTTACGACTAGCAGTGACAAATATGGAACCGGACATTGACCATCTCATTAGCCAAAAGCAGGCCCATAGTTCCCATTGAAATACTGGTAAATTTGTTGATTTAACTTTACTTGTTCTTCATTTTAAATATTGTATTTGTTCCCGTTTTGTTTTTTTGCTTCAAAATAAGATATGTGCAGTGTGCATAGGAATTTGTTCATAGTTTTTTTAAAAACTATAGTCCAGCCCTCCAACGGTCTGAGGGACAGTGAACTGGCCCCCTGTTTAAAAAGTTTGAGGACCCCTGGTATAAACACATAGATTGGGAGGCAGCAGTGAGGAAAAGAAATGGGATAAAATGGGCCTTCCTGCCTCTTCTGTCAGTGGGTCCCGTGACCCTACGAATCAACTTTTCTGGAGCTGGAAGTGACTAAGGGGAGGGAGAAAGTGGAGAAGATACACAGTCCTTGTCCAAAGATTCCTGATGCTTGTGCCCGTTGATCACTAGATCACTAGATCCAACCTGATGTGTGCCATGTTATCGGACAGTTGTACACTGGCTGCACATCAATGTGAAACCAAGTTGTGGGCCTGCACTGGTAAAAATCAGTGTGCAAATCACGAGGCCACTACTTTTTTAAAAAATAATTTTTAATTGATTTTTCAAATATTATAATACATAACAATTTACTGAACTCGTTTTTCCAGTAGAATACATAGATATAATGAAAGTCAGTAGTTAATGTTCAGGAACTAAATAATTTTAACAACAATAAACTCAACTAATAAATTCAGTATATTACCAAGACAATAGCATTAAAACATGAGTATATTATCGTCCCCTACCTATTATTTAATTATTTGTGACAATATAATCATTCACATATAGAGTTTAGTCTAGTTTAACTATTTCTCAGTGTGTCGTACAAACTATATTGAAAGGTGGTTCCCAATACTGGAAAAGTTGGAAACTCTACTAGAACAGACTGGACATGCACAAAACAGTCAATACTGTAATCTCTTAAAAACAGGCGGGATTCTTTAAGGCCACTACTTATGCTGCATTTTTTCACATAGCACCATTAGTTTTACAGGTGCACATAGATGCAATTCACCGTGCTGATTAGCCCCAAAACATTGGTAGTGTTCTGGATACTCATTTAGAAAGAGAAATGTGACCTCCTAAAGATGTGGAATAGAAATACCAATGATCATGTTAATTATATAACCAAATATTGCAATGTTGATGAGACAGCTGAGCCTGAGAATGGCTTACAATACAAATCTTTCCAATTATTCATCAAATAGCAATGTTTTTGGGTCAGAAAAGATACATGTAATAGTGGAACTCTTGCCTAAGAAAGAACAGCTATATTATGGGGAAAGTATGCTTATAAACCAGGAAGCACAAATGCCTTATCTGTGTGGAGTCTGGAAAGGCTACTGATCACAGTTGTAAGAAGGCTGCATTGATGACCAATGTACTTAATCTCCTTATAGGTATTTGGACTATTTCCATGTGATGACCTATGACTTCCATGGTTCCTGGGAGGGATATACTGGAGAGAACAGTCCTCTGTTTAGAGGCCCTGCTGACACTGGTGGCAACATCTACTTCAATATAGTAAGTATACAGTGAATGCTTAAAACAGCATAGTTCAGAGCCTGCAATGATGGAAGGGTTTAAAATGGAAACAATGGAGAAATCAGTATTCTACTTGCTAACAGAGGATAACACATGTACTGTCTTTACAGGACTATGCCATGAACTACTGGAAGAACAATGGTGCCCCAGCTGAAAAGCTCATTGTTGGATTCCCAACATATGGGCACACCTTCATCCTCAGCAACCCATCCAACACAGCCATTGGTGCCCCCACATCTGGGGCTGGACCTGCAGGACCATACACAAGACAGGCTGGCTTTTGGGCTTATTATGAGGTTTGTGCATTTATTCCTACTATATAACTAAGGTAAAGATATTCAAAACTGCCAATAACTTATTTTATTGAAGATCATTCAAAAACATTGTATGTGGGTAACTGGTCAGAATACACAGTGTGGTCTATGGGAATATGCTAACTTGTTACAGAAGACAATTTATACAGATGTGTGCTTTGAGAAGTGGATGTTCTGAGTTCACTCTCCTGCTGTTGGCTAGAACCTTAAGTGATTTACAAGATATGTTTGTGTTTCTTCTCACTTAGATCTGCACCTTCCTCAATAATGGAGCCACTCAAGTCTGGGATGCTCCTCAAGATGTGCCTTATGCCTACAAGGGTAACGAGTGGCTTGGATATGACAATATCAAGAGCTTCAATATTAAGGTATGATGCACTGTGCCAAAGTCATTAAGTACAAGGTTCCCAGTTCTCCAGTACCACATCAATTGATTTTGTCTTCCTGCTTGACATTTAACAGGCTGACTGGGTGAAGAAGAACAACTTTGCAGGTGCAATGGTTTGGTCCCTGGACTTGGATGATTTCACTGGCACTTTCTGTAATCAGGGCAAATACCCCTTGATCACTGCTTTGAAGAATGCTCTCGGACTGCAGAGTTCTAGTAAGTAGTAGCAGAAGTGAGGATTCCAAAATGTCTAAGAGGTGAACATCAAAGTTCTAGCAAAAGTTTACTATGTTGAAATGTTGAACCACAGTTGCTTATTGTACAACATATCTTTCAAACTGAGGTACTAAAGGAAGGATTTTTGAAGCCTGCTTAGAATGACAGGCCATGGAACAAACATTCAAAATTACCCATTCTTTAGGTTTATGATTAGCACTTGGACCCTTTTCTGTTGACAGTGAAGTAAGCCATAAAGTCAGTTATAAAAAAGCAAAAATCAGCAAAATCATCAAGTTGGACCTTCTCAGTAGCACAGATCATCAATATTCATGCAAACTCCTTAGATCAAGCCCCAAATGAGGCAGAATTCACATCTTTTTGATAGAAGAATGACCCAAGATATTATTTTCTGCTCTCTTCCAGGCTGTACACCTTCTTCCAACCCCAGTAGTGGCAGTGGCAGTGGAAGTCCTGGAGGCAGCCCAAGCAGTGGCTCTGGAGGCAGCCCCAGCAGTGGCTCTGGAGGCAGCGGGTTCTGTATCAACAAAGCTGGAGGCCTCTATCCAGACCCAACTAACCACAACAAATTCTACCACTGTGTGAATGGGAGGACTTTTGTGCAGAATTGCCAGACCGGACTTGTCTTTGATACCAGCTGTTCCTGCTGTAACTGGGCATGAAGAGATCAGGGCTACTAGCCTTCCTAATCTGATCAAGTTGCCACATAGCTGCAACAATTAAATAAAATTCAGCAAATATAAAGACTGTTGCTCTCCATTTCTGTTAATTCATACAGTGTTTAAGGTTTGCCTTTCACATTGCTCCCATTGCTTCTGCTTTTGAGAGCCAGTTTGGTGTAGTGGTTAAGTGTGCAGACTCTAATCTGGGAGAACCGGGTTTGATTCCCCACTCCTCCACTTGCACCTGCTGATGTGACCTTGGGCCAGTCACAAGCTCTGGCACAGCTGTCCTTGAAAAAGAGCAGTTTCTGTCAGAGTTCTCTCAGCCCCACCCACCTCACAGGGTGTCTGTTGTGGGGAGGGGAAGGGAAAGGAGTTTGTAAGCCGCTCTGAGACTCCAAGTGAAGGACGGGGTATAAATCCAATATCATCATCATCATCATCATCATCATCTTCTTCTTCTTCTTCTTCTTCTTCTTTTTCTTCTTCTTCTTCTTCTCCTTCTTCTGGAAGGAGCCAGCAGGTGTTCTCTTTTTCTACCTGTATCACATTCAGAGTTTTTCAGTTGTAGTGCAACTATGTTTATCATATCAAGAATGAAACAAATAGTGTAACATAGGACACATCCTGAGGCTAGGGTCTTTTCCAAGCTCATAAGTCAGCATGGTTCTGTAGATATAATATGCAAGCACACAAGCATCTGCGCTTAATACTTCCATGGATTAGCTGTTTTTTCCACATTCCTAGTCCCTTTTATTTTTTAGTAAATATATGAGATAACTTACTTTCCTCCAATCCTTATAATACTGGATAATCTTTTTCAAGAGAAACAGGAGAGGAATATATATTTTACTTTACAGGTTCAAGTAGTTCTTCAAAAAGCCCCTCCGCCAAAAAAAACCCCCTTAATTCATGGTAGGAAGGAAATACCTGTTGTTTCTTTATTTACACTATGTTAGGATTTTATAATATTATTTGGTGCCAACATATTAATTCTGGCTGCTGCTGATGGCCACAGTTATGAGATGGACTTCTTCTTCTTCTTCTTCTTCTTCTTCTTCTTCTTCTCTCTCTCTCTCTCTCTCTCTCTCTCTCTCTCTCTCAAATATATAAAATGCCCACAAATGAAATCAAGGTGGACGGGCAAGGGATAGCACAGAGAGGAAAGAGCTGATTATTGCAGGGATATCTGTACAGCACAACTTTGTGTATGTAAGTGCACAGCAGAGGTATGCAAAACAAAAAAATCAGATTCAAAGAATGGGAAACAGATTTTGGGGTGCATCTGCCCCTCTCTCATGCACATACCCAATATGGATGAAATTCTCATGCCACACACAAAGATGGAGGATGAAAAACTATATATACCATCCAGAACTTGTTGAATCAATGACTCATTAAATATGTGATCACTGATGGAAGAAAACAACCTATTGTATAGACAATTAAAATTAAACTTCTTGCATGCAGAGGAGATATAAATTGGAGTGTTAAAAGTTTCCTTCTGTTCCCAAGATCATCTAGTAGGTGTTGGGTACCTGATTTTTTACAAAAATGGAAGACATGGGTGAGGGGAACTAGACCCTGCTCATTCTCACACCTTATTTATTATTTGTTTAGAAAATGTTTCTGCTGCCTCTCCTGGGAACATATTCAAGGCAACTTACAAAATAAATACATAATAAAACATTGAAAGTTTTTCATTTATTATTTCACTGCATTACACATCTCTCAGCATCTTCCCCAGGCTGGCTGAGTTTTCATAGCACAGCCTGGCCAAACATTGAAGTGTGGAGCAGAACAGGGCAAGGTATAGCAATAGGGATGGGCATGAACCAGCTAATGAACTAAAGTTTGTCCTGAAATTTGGCTGGTTCGTGGTTCATGAAGCGAAGCCGTGAACTTCCATGAATTTTGGTGCACCCCTGCTTTCTGCTTTTCATGAAAACCCCTGAGCTGTTTGGAAATCCTTGCTTTCTGTGAAAAGCCCTGGGGAGCAGAAAGCGGGGGTTTAAACTTTAAATGGCTCACAAACCAAGTTGGTTTGCAAACCAGCCTCCTGGTTCACATGGGTTTGTGGTTCAGTTCATGATTCAGTCACAAATCATGAACTGAACTGCAAAAAATGTGGTTCATATCCATCCCTATATAGCACCCCTGCTTCTATCCATCTCAATTTAATTGAGAATGCAGTACATTAAATAAAAGATCCCTCTAGTCTGTTTGCAGGCAACATTTATCACCAGGGAGCCAAAGACTGCACATTTGCCCCTAATCCTTCTCCCATTTCCATAGCCCTGGCTGCCAGCCAGAGACTACAAGCAAAGTGTTTCCATCTGTCACCTGCAAGGCATACAGCCTGATAGGAACTTGCTAATTATTGCATGGTTGAACAACCATAACCTTTGCACCTTTATTCCCCTCCTGTCCACCAGAAGATGCAAGCAAGGTGTATCCTTTACCTGCCTAGCATGTACACAATGCCAAAGAAAGCAGTAGCCCAGACAACCAGGACCTGTGGTTAAATAGAATCAGAACACCCTTCCAAAAACAATGATTGACAGAATGTGGAAATTCTGAGCACACAAATGCCAGTTGAGATGCTTCTGTCCAGTGGGAAGTCTTCCAGTTGGATCATGCATATATTGGCTGAATCACTCTCTGCCTTTCCTGTCATACTTACCTTACTGTCTCCTCCTGCCCATGAAACCAATACCAGATGGCAAGGTACTAGAATAATCATCAGATCAGGAAAAGTTCCACTGATTCACATATATCAGACATAACCTTGTTCAGATTCAGAACATCCTGTCCTTATAATAGAAGCCAGTTGGGGTGGCAACGTTCTATGCACGGCAAAATCAGTTCGTTCTCCCATGTGTCAATCAGAGTGTGTCAGTATGCACTGGCTGCATTCCCGGCAGCCTACCCACAGAAGGTCTGCATGCCAAAACTTCCGTCACAACACGCCTTCACCACTGGAGAGAAGACATTTGCCTCACCTCAGGACAGAGGACGACATTTGCTACCTGTGGGTCTGCTCCAGCAGCCACCATTAGTGCCTGACTTCTAAGCCCTTCTAAAGTCCCTTTCGTGCCCCTACTCATTTCCCCTCCCCACTTCACATGGCCCACGGTGTGGGGCAATCACTCCCCTAGCCCCACTGTGAGGCAGGCAGGTCTCGGATGGGACCATGGCGAACGTCTTCAGGGCCTCCGGGAAGGGTGGGTGGAGTGCAGCCTCTCCGTTTTCGGCTCCTCCCCCCCGCCGGCCTTAAGAGGCTTGGGAGAGTGGGTGGAGGGTGGAGGTGGTGGTGACCTGGCGGCCGCAGGCCCGTTTTGCGCCTCCCCCCTGTCGTGATGTGCGAAATGCTGGCTAGTACGTCAGTGCCCAAAGAGAGTTGGAGTACCCAAAGAAGACTGGAGTCCAGAGCTTAGGTGCAAACACACAGTGTTATTTATTCACACCCAGCTTCCACCAATATACAGGTCTCAGTGTCAAAGTGCTCCTCTGCAACCAATTCAAGTGATAGACAGAGATACACTGTACACCCTTTACATATGTACATCCATGAGACAATCAGCACACAGCTGATGCAATCGTGGTGTAATACTCAGTGCCAGGCTGGACTGCTTCAAACCAGTTTGAGCCAGCCTCCCTTGCAGCTTCTAGCTGTCACTTGCACTGACATTAGATTAAACTCATCTAGGCCAGCCTTACTTAGACATGTGAATCACAACACCCTCGCCAGCATTCAAAGGCTTCGGGGGAGCGGGTGGAGGGTGGCGGCGACCCAGTGGTTGCGGGCCCATTTTTGACACCTCTCCTCTCCGCCGGCCTTCAGAGGCTTCGGGGGTGCGGGTGGAGGACAGCGGCAGCCCATTTTCAGGACTGTTGTAGCAGTCAAGAGGCCAGGTCTAACAATACACTGGAATGGGGTGGGTAGACCTGTTCTCCAGAGGCCTCTGGAGATATGGTTACCCACCCCATTCCACTATATTGGTAGACCTGGCCTCTTGACCACTACAATAGTCCTGATAGTGGGATGGGGTGGGTAGACCAAAGGCCAGGTCTACCAAAGGCCAGGTCTACCAAAGTCCAGGTCTACCAATATAGTGGAATGGGGTGGGTAACCATATCTCCAGAGGCCTCTGGAGAACAGATCTACCCACCCCATTCCAGTGTATTGTTAGACCTGGCCTCTTGACTGCTACAACAGTCCTGAAAATGGGCCCCCGCTGTCCTCCACCCGCACCCCTGAAGCCTCTGAAGGCTGGCGGTGAGGAGAGGTGTCAAAAATGGGCCCGCAACCACTGGGTCGCCGCCACCCTCCACCCGCTCCCCCGAAGCCTTTGATGGGGAGGAAGGGAGAAAGAGTGAGAGGGGGAAAGAATGAAGAGGGGGGTAGCGAGGGGGTAGTGGCGAAAACATGCCCGCGGCGGGCGTTTCAGTGCCACCGCCACTGCCCCTCATCTGCTCCCCCCGAAAGAAGAAGAAGAAGAAGAAGAAGAAGAAGAAGAAGAAGAAGAAGAAGAAGAAGAAGAAGAAGAAATTGGATTTATACCCCGCCCTTCACTTGGAGTCTCAGAGCGGCTTACAAACTCCTTTCCCTTCCCCTCCCCACAACAGACACCCTGTGAGGTGGGTGGGGCTGAGAGAACTCTGACACAAACTGCTCTTTTTCAAGGACAGCTGTGCCAGAGCTTGTGACTGACCCAAGGTTATCTAGCCAGGTGCAAGTGGAGGAGTGGGTAATCAAATAACTCATTTCCATTCTGTCAAAGCCTTTCTCCAGGTCTACAGAGAGGATTAAGGAATCAACAGATCGAGATTTACCATATGAGATTATGTTTAAAGTGTGCCTTATATTGTCCATTAGGGATCTACCAGGAATTAATCCTGTCTGGCCGGAGTCAATATAATGACGAATGATATTTTGAAGCCTGGAAACCAATACCTTTGCAAAGAGTTTTGCATCATAATTTATGAGAGCGATGGGT